AAAGTCTATAAACCTAGGTTTAAATAAATATTAGTTGTATATTATATTTATATTATCTGCATCTAAAAGTAAAATATTGTATAAGTTGAAAATTGTAATTGTTGGCCGGTATCCGTCATGAATTATAAAATTCATCCGACCAGTTCAGTAATTATTATAAATCAAAATAAACATTTAAAGTATCATCTATTGAAAAAAAAAAATAAGTATTCATTAAACTTTGCTTTGTACACAGTATATGTAATATATATACGTCATTTGAAAACTCACCATTACAGCAGTGGCAATTTCCTAATAAATCGTATTTTGATTTTTTACAACGCCATTGAGTGGTTCTACTCAAAAAAATGCATCTCCCTTTACACATTACCCAACAGGATGAATACGGTTCTGAAAACAAGGAAGTTTTCCACGGAATGTTGCAAGTCCTATTGTCATTTGGAGCATCACCATTATACTTGGCCCTCTTCTCACCATCTTCGAAGGAATCCACAAACAATAACGACAATACCAAAATAAAATAAACAAAACAAGCTTTTTTTAAGAGATTCATTTTATATTATATGTTGTTAAACTAAAATCAAATGATATTTTTTCATAAATACTTGTTATAAATATGATGGTTTACAATGGCTAGATATCAGTTGAATTTTTCGATGCAAACTAGTTCAAACATCGCTCTGCAGATCCCATAAAGAAAATTCTTTGCGATCCTAGTGAAATCTGTCTCAACTAGCCTTATTAACACTTTACAAATGCACCCACCATGTAACCGAAGTACCGGCCARTATCGAACAGCGAGCAATCAATCCATGATAATTATATTTGACCAGTGATAATAATGGTGACACCGTTTTATGGTGTTATTTTTCCACATTATTATAGCTGACGCAAACTTAAAATTGTCTACCTATAATTTCATTCATTATAAAATGCCACCACGGCAAAAAGAGTCGCCTTAGATTACTTATAATTATGTCTTCGAGTAGATGATAAATCAACTTAGTAGGTGTTGTTTAGACTTCACAAAATGAAATTAATTACTGCTMATAATTTCATTCATCATAAAATGCCATCACGGTAAAAAGAGCCGTATCAGACTATATATAATTGAGTTTTAAGTAAAACCGAGAAGATAAGTTATCAAATTAGTAGGTGCAGGGCTTATAAAGTATTTTCGTTAAGCTTACTCGAGTATAATGTAATACCAGTATATATGTAGACATATATATATATATATATATATATTAAACGTGTGAATCGTACGCGTGGTTGATTGTTATTATTTATTATTATCTTCATGTTGGCCGGGAGAGTTTTTAATAACGATGGCTAGGTAGATATTATTATATAGACATAAAGTATAGACGTATAGGTAGTATAGATAAGTACGCTATAACTATACACACAACACACTGCAATTGTGGCTGTCAGAMAATTTGCTTCAATTTTTCTAGTTGTTATTCTACTTGTATTAAAAAAAAAATTAAATAACGATGTTTCTCACGTTTTTTTAACACTGCAGGGCCTGTGCCTAATGTGGCCAGTGATTGTTGTTGCCAAAATTAAATAAAAAACTTCGTTCATAATAATATTGAACAAATATTATTCACGATGAGCACATCGATAGTAAATTTAGTGTGAAAATACTGTCGGCCAAAATACAGCTCTGGTAAATTGTGTTTACACATGTAATATAGAAAAATACAAAATAATAAAATAAAAATAGTTGTCGGGCGTATATTATTTTTGTATAGTTTTATGAAATAAAAAGATGCGATAAGCGATCATTATCTGCGGAATACTGTATTATATATTTCTGATGCTGCTAAAACTTCACGAAAAATTGTTTCATTTTTTAGTATAGTGCAAGATGTTTTTAATTTCTTTGGGTCTAGTGCACCAAGGTGGGCATTATTAGCTCTTGGTGATGAACAAGCATGTAAAGTTCTTAAGAAAAGATTAAAACAAGATGGGAAGCAAGGCATGATGCAGTATTCAGTTTACAAGAGAGGTTCATGGATGTTGTTAAGTGCTTAACTAAAATATCATTGACTACCAAGAGAACAGATGAAAGAAACTYAAGTTTAACTTTTAAAAAAAAAGTTGGAATCAAGTGAATTTATTTYAATTTTATATTTATGGGAAAATATTTTGAGAATCTTAAATGTTGTGTCAAAATTATTACAAGGAGTTAATTATTCCATTGAGATGGCTTCTACACTTATGAATCAATCAATTAGTCAAATCAATAAATTAAGGAACAATTAATATGATGGGCTATTAAGTAAATCAAAATAATGATGTGCTAAATGGAACATAACAGTGCCATTCCATTTAGTACGTAAACAATTTTCAAATAAAAGGTTTGATGATTTTGATGGTGACTTTCGATTTGATATTAAGAAAAAATTTTAAAATAAAAGTATTTTTACCTGTCTTGGATACTATACTGTTTAAATTGCATAGTCGATTTGAAGGAATGGTTACTATAGTTAATAATTTTAAATTTCTATCGCCATTAACCATTATTGAACAAAATGAAGATTATATTATAAAACCATCATATGATTTTATAAATTTATATACAGAAGATGTTTCATAATATGAACTTACAAGACAATTATTATGTCTTAAGCTACATATTACAAAAATTGATAAAACTATTATATCGGAACTTAAGACCATACAGAATTTGGCTTTTTATATATAATTGATATGGATTTATCAACAAGTTTTCCTAATGTTTTAGCTGCATGTCTTATATTTTTAACCATTCCTGTTACGGTAGCATCGGCAGAAAGGAGTTTTTCTAAGCTTAAATTAATTTAAAATTATTTGCGCAATTCCATAGGTCAAGAACGGCTCAGTGGAATTTCCATACCTGACATAGAAAGGAGAAGAACTTCAGATATGGATATAGAGAAAATCATTGACAACTTCGCATATGCAAAAGCGAGAAAAAAACAATTCTGTTAGATTCTTATTAAGTTTCAAATGTGTTAAAATTATACTATAATTTTACAAATGTTTTATGTTTATAACCATTATAAATGTAATTATACAACATTATACAACATTATATACAACCATTATCTTTATCTGTGTAATTTAATAATTTCCATAATATTCCTCATAATATTAACCTTTCATAATATAAACGCCGGCTATCGTATTTTATTTTATTAATAATAGGTAAATTCATTTAAAAAAAAATATTTAGGCCCCCAAATTACGATTTGCACACCAGCCCCGTAATGTGTAGTTGCGACACTGGCTGTATATTTTTCTCGTTTAATATATAATAACATAAATGTAGATAATTTAATTATTGTGTCTGCAGTGTTTACGACATATTATATTGTGCCCATGATATTTAGTTAATAGTTAACGTAGCTCACTTAAGTTCGTAACAGTGACCGCACGTTTAATTTATCGTTTTTAAGCTTTAAAAGTCCCGCTGTGATGTTTTTAATTATATTGGAAAAATATAAAAAGAAAACATAAAGGAAATGCTGTGAAATTAAGAGAGAAAAAAAAAGAAATTGCTCAACATTGATGCATCCAAATATAAGTCTTTAGATGCTAAGTTTCAAATTCAATCTAAAAATAAGGATATTGACAAAAGTGTTGAATCAAGTTGTATAATATTAACGTTACTGAGAG